CACATAACATTGTCACTGTCTACAAGGCTCAGATGACCTAGCCTCCAATACTACTGTATGGAGTGTTGCCTCCCCCACTACATCGTGCGTGCTAGATGCTGTTCAGAGGAGGACCTGCTAGACTGAATGATGACAATTCCTCAACGGACAGCCTCGGGAAAGTGTCGCACCAACAGATGGTCGGCGATCTTGGTCTCATCTGCCGCTATGTCAACGAGCTTTGCTCCTCAGAGCTCTCCTCCATGATACAACCGCGCGTTACGCCTACCAGACGGACCCGTCAGGATATTGGTTCCTATCCCATCTCCATGCACCGGTTGTCGAGACTGTGAAAAAGTCTTCAAGGGAAAGTTTTTTTCCAGTTCTGCTAATCTTAGACACTCAAATACCGGAATGATAAGTTATCCTTGAGTTCCTGGTTGCTGTCTCGATTTAAGATTCTGCATACGCAGCTATTTCAGTATAAAAAGGATCTCCTTGGGTTGGTGATACCAGCAATAATGATTTAAATACAAGAATTTGTATATACGCATAATCTGTAAATATTTTTATATTAAAGTAAGTACTGAGCCAACACACTTAACTAATTTTTTTATTCCGAGCCAAGACTCTCAATTTCGAAAGTAAATAGCATCAATTTGCTAAAAGCCTCTTATCAATTATTATCATCTCCCCTTGTAAACAAAGGAGCGGACCTTTTTAATAAAGTTAATTTCCCCAATACATCCACAACCATTATCGCTCGTTTTCTCTCCCAGTTATCATGTGTTTGAAGATGATCGCTACCAAAGAAAAGGGTGTTCGTCTTGTCGGCAATCTTACATACAGAATCAGCACCCTATTCTGTATGGCCCCGTGGTTTGACTTCAAGAAGCAAGAGTTGAGGTGTCCAAGACTGAACAAGGGTTATGCTTCTATATATATTGTGTTATTCACAGCCTTGGGCATCGGTGCTATAGTGCTCAGGAAAAATGGTTTGAATTATAAACACAATAGGATAGAAGATATCTTGTTCGCAGTGAATATGGGAATATACATTTTTCTTGTTGTCATAACCACTTTGAGATCAAGTGTATTGCATGCTGATAAGTGGGAATTTTGTCTAAAAAAGTGGTATGAGTTGGATAAGATGATGAATAGTAAAGCAAATGGTGACACAACGTTTTTCTATCAGTTTATTATTGGTAAGGTTCAGCATAATATTACTTTTGAAATGCACATTTAAGAGGAACTTTAACACCTCATAAAAAACCTCTTGCCTACCCTGAAATATTCAGTTGCTAGGCACAGTTTATACAAGAATAGTAAGTTATTGGATGCATACAGATATAGAACACAAAATAGTTCTACATGTTTCTGCCAAAAACACGGCGTACAAAGCTTTCTTTTGAAACTGATTCTGATAAAACTATCCTTGAATGCATATTCCGAGGAAATTTTGAGCATAAAGAAGATTTAAGAAGAACTAGTCTTGTTTCATTATTGTGCAGGTATATTAGTTTACAATGCAGCACAAAAATGCTATAGGGCATCTGATAATTTTCAAATGATCTGCAGATCATTGTCCTGTGGCTCTTCGGATCGCTGATCACGAATCCTTTATCAGAATCACTGTATTTTTAAAACAGCAGAAACAGTGTATCAAATCAAGTATCTCAGTTGATTAAGCTTTTAAAACAAGGCTGCTTTCTTCTAAAAACATGACACGTCAAACAAGGATTTTTTCTAGCCTAAAGCCTTTCCAAATAAAATAAAAAAGAGACGAGCAACAAATTCAAAAATACTTTTCCCCATCAGAAATATTTTACGATAATTAAGTTACTTCACCTCAAATTTTCAAATCAAGTCCTTTCATTTGATACCTGTAATATAGGGGTGAAATTATAAATCATTATCTTGGATTTATAATGTGTGCTGTGCTTATTGCATTTCTCTCAGTAAGCTCTTACATTTGATACTCATATCATAGGGGTGGCTATGAGAAACATAAATCGCCATTTTGCGGCTGTCGCCGTATTGGATTTAGAATGACGACACTTTCCTTATTGCGTTTCCCTTATCGAGTCAAATAAAAGGATTATATGAGGCCCATATCATTCGGGTGACTATGAAAAACATAAATCGTATGATTTTGTGGCGGCGGCCATATTGGATTTAGGATTATATCACTTTGCTTGTTGCGTTTCGCTCATCGAATCTTTTCATTTGATACCCATACTATGGAAGTGATAAATCGCAATTTTGTATCATCCGCAATATTGGAATCAAGATTTCGGAAGTTTTTATTTTGTATTGTCACGCAAACCAAGCGTGTGTATTTCAACTATAAGGTTAACTGGTTCAAAATTATATATATATATATATATATATATATATATATATGCAGGGTTATCCAAATTAAGTGTCCACCATTGGTAACTTTGTTATTAGTAAAAACACAAAGTTGTTTAAATTAGCAAACTAGTAGCATTTTTAACGCTGGTAAAAATGAGAAATAAAAAAAAAACAATTGAGAGTCGTTATTTTGATTTTTTTCAGTAAAATAACATTTTTTTAAATGGAAACCCCTGTATATTATATTTTTTTCTGTTAAAGCATCAAATTTTAAACAAAAAAGTTCATAATGACTTTTCCGCTAAAGTCAAAAATAAAGTCAAAATAACGATAAATATTTTTAATTATTTGCAGTATTATAATATTAAGACGGCTATGAAAACAACATGGCGTTCGCGATTTGACAGCATTAAGATAAGCGACAAATTGTTAAACTGGACATACTCGCAACTAGAAGGCTTTGGAAAACAATGATAAAATCAAATAATGTCAAACATTAGTGTAAATACTTGTTTATAAGCTTTATTGTGTCATTAATTTAAAGAAAAATGTTCTCCCATGAAGAAAAGTGTGATATGTTAGAATGCTATTTAGTGTGCAGAAAATCCTCCTTGAGAGCAAGAGAATACTACAGTGAATTATATCCCGCTCGCATTCAACCGTATGAACGATATTTTCTGAGACTTTATCGAAAATTTAGGGGCAACGAAAATGTTTTTGCTAAAACAAGGGCAAAAAAAGAATTCATAATAAGCGAGGCCCCGAGTTATTGGATATTTTGAAGCTTATCGTGAGAATTCAATAGCAGATATTCTCAAGGACTCTAATTTCAGTTATGGTACTGTTCAAAGGATTTTAAAAAAATACAAATTTATTCCGTATAAGTACCGACCAGTTCAAACGCTTTTGGCAGGGGATCCAGAGAGAAGACTTGTTTTTTGCCATTGGTATCTTAGCTTCTGTCGCCAAAATGTAAATAATTTTCGTTACCTTTTATGGACAGATAAATCAAATTTTTCAAATTCTGGAATGTTTAATAGAAAAAACCACCATTATTGGTCAAGAGAAAATCTGTTGTTAGTACATCCAAGAGGCCCACAAGTCCGTTTCAGTTTCAACGTTTGGTGCGGTATAATTGGTTCAAAAATTGTTGGCCCGTTCTTTTATGAGGGAACCCTAACTGGTGAAAGATATGTGGAATTTATGTCAGAAATTCTGACTAATTTCTTAGACGAATTGGATCTTATAAGTAGACATCATCTGCATTTTCAGCAAGATGGCGCACCTGCCCACAACTCCAGAGGTACTTATCATTTTCTAAGTACTACTTTTAATGATCAGTGGATAGGAACAAATGGCCCAATACAGTGGCCTCCCAGATCACCAGATCTAAACCCACTTGATTACTTCTTGACGCGTTAAAGACTGCAGTTAGGTAAAAGATAACCCAGATAGATGGTAGGACCATACTTAAGACAGTTCGAGCAGTTGAAAAACGTGCCCAAAAATGTATTGAAGAACAAGGTGGTGTTTTCGAGCATCTTCTTTAAAAAAAATTGTTATTGTATTTTGTAAGATTATAAGTTGATGTTGAAAATAAAGTTTGTCGATACAATTTAATTGTTTCAGATTGGAGGCCATAACTTCAACAATTTGTAACCTAGGAGAAAAGTTATTGTAAGCTTTTTTGTTTAAAATTTGATGCTTTAACAGAAAAAATATAATATACAGGGGTTTCTATTTAAAAAAATGTTATTTTACTGAAAAAAATCAAAATAACGACTCTCAATTGTTTTTTTTTATTTCTCATTTTTACCAGCGTTAAAAATGCTACTAGTTTGCTAATTCAAACAACTTTGTATTTTCACTAATAACAAAGTTACTAATGGTGGACACTTAATTTGGATAACCCTGTATATATATACAAATACGCCAAAAAATACAATTAACTTGTTTATTGGGAATCGGCAAAACTTAAACTTGAAGCTTAGTAAACTCTTTTGACGGTAATCTCGAGCGTTCGGCAAACTACGTTGTCATCAGGAGCTAAATCACAAATATGAAAGTATCAACAATTTAGATTTAAATTTCCAAATCACTTACTCGTTGGTGAGGTTGCAGCTAAATGGTGTTTTAAATTGAAAAAGTGGACGAGAACACTTGCTGCAATTACAAAAAACCAAGAGACCAGACACATTGGGTTTGTTGCTAACGACGGAACACATAGCTAGGTGTAACAAACATATAACAGTAAGCCCAAACAAATTAAAAATTGTATAACATACCAAAGTTATTAAAAGCTAACACTACATTTTAAGGAGACAGCAAGTTCTCTTCTAACATCGTTTATTTGATGCACGTGGTGACAGTGACTGAAATCGGAAATGTGACGAGGTAGACAGCAAAATGAAGGAATTTTTTCATGTTTTCATAGCAATAATAAATATTTTTTCACACAACCCATTTTTTCTGGTGTCTCATTACCATCATATGTTCATAAAGAGTACATTTTTCCAATTCAAAGCAGATTCAACATTTGAATATGAAAAGTTTTTTCCGAATGCCCCTCGTATGCACTATCCCTGAAATTTGGCAATGATTGTTACACTTCCACATTCTTTCATGACGTCATCTGTCATCTATCTACCACGTCACATTTCCGGCTTCAGTCACTGTCACCACGTGCGTCAAATATACGATGTTAGAAAAGAATTTGCTGTTACCCTAAAATGTAGTTGGTTTTTAATAACCTGAGTATGTTATACAATTTTTAATATGTTCGAGTTTACTGTTATATGGTTGTAACACCTATGTGTTCCGTCGTTAGCAACAAACCCAATGTGTTTGGTCTTTTGGTTTTATAATTGCCACAAGTGTTCTCGTCCACGATTTCATTTTAAAACAGTATTTAGCTGCAACCCTGCCGATGAGTAAGTGATTTGAAAATCTGAATCTCTTCTAAATTGTTGCTACTTTCATATTTGTGTTTTAGCCCCTGAAGATGACAACATAGTTTGTCGAAAGCTCGAGATTACCGTCAAACGATTTTACTAAGCTTTAAGCTTTGCCAATTCCCAATAAACAATTTAATTGTATCTTTTTTTTCCCAGCTGGTCGTTGGCAATGGCAATGACTACTGGTCGCATATATACAAGTATATATAATAATTAGTAATAAAAGCTTGTGATGAAATGAAATCTTGTAAAAAGGTTGTAATAGTATAGTCATTTTTGTATAGACAATTGTGTCATTTGTTGTGTTTTATTTGAATCTAAGCGACTATAATCTTACTCTGAAAAACTTTGTATAGTCTAGGTCAGCCAACTCTGCGTCTCAATGTAATATCTATAGTATCATGCAGCTAGCTAGCTACATATCTAAAACTATAATCCCGTTTTTTATATTACAGGCCATGCCCTCTTCATTGGACTCTTCGTGTATCTAAGCTTTATTTTCGATGACAAAATCGACAGTACTGCCTCCTTGACCGTTTTTACATCTCTCTGCATTTGCGAGTACTACTGCTTCCTAGGAACTATGTGCTCCCTACAAGTCTCCTCCGACATCAACAGAAAATTTAAAGAGTTAGAGCTCCTGCTTGTCAGTCAGGTGAAGAACCTCTCACAAGAGCTCAATGGGTACTCAGAAGAAATGATTGTGAGGCACATAATGAAAATCGGAAAGCTCTATAGAATGATTTCTTCGATTGTGGAAAGCCAGAACGATATTTTTGGTGGGGTTATTATGCTGATGATATGGCATTCGCTGGTACAGATTTTGAGATGCGTGAATTTTCTTTTGTTGAATTGGGAACAAACACAGTGTTTGAACGTTTATGTTTGTTTACTGACTGCATTCAGCATGGTAAGTATCATGGTGGAAAACTAGTACATGTCAGACTCGATAACCACTTTCCTGCTACATCCTTTTGCCTTGATAACAGAATTAGTGAATATATACTAAGTGACATATAAATCCGAACACCCAGTTTAAATGGTTTTATTTTGATAAAATTTTGTATAAGTAATTAATGAAGCATAATAAGTAAATGATAAAAATTTCAAAATGATTGCACTGCTTTAAAGCCCTTTGACCTTTAATAATGTGTGGATGCACCCTGATGTGCTACGAATTCTCCAACGCGCCTAGGCATGCTTCTGATCAGGTGGTCAATGTCCTCCTGTGGTATCTCATTCCAGGCAACCACCAACTTCTCTCGAAGTGCTTCTAGAGTCTGAGGAGGACGTTGCAAATTGAGCAATCTCCTACCCATCATATCCCACATGTGCTCAACTGGGGATAAGTCGGGAGATCTTGGTGGCCATGGTAACAATGTGACATCATTATGTTGAAAGAAGTCTATTGTGACTCTTGCAACATGTGGCCGGGCATTATCTTGTTGGAAAGTTGGATCTGCCAGGGTGTCAAGATAGGGTAAAAGATTGGGTTCTAGAACTTCGTGGATATAACGCTGCGCGTTCATGTTACCTCTGATGAAGATTAAAGGTGACCTGGAACCATAAGCTATAGCACCCCAAACCATAACTCCAACAGTGTGATGAACATGTCTTTCAACAAAAAACTGTGGATTCCTCCTTTCACCACGTCGCCTTCTAACCCTGGCACGACCATCGTGCATGCCTAAACAAAATCAAGACTCGTCACTGATCCCAGAGTGACCGTTGTTTGCACCACTCAAGGCGATTACGTCGGCGTTCTCGAGTTAAAGGGAGGACCCAGTGTGGCCGGTATGAAAACAAGCCAAAACTTCTCATTCGTCGGTAAACACTTCGCATGCCAGTAGGTCTTCCGTGTTCTGCAAACCATTAATTTGCAATGGACCTGGTAGTGGAGAAACGGTCCCTTAAGGCCAATAATCTTAGGCGGCGATCTTCACGGTCTGTTGTTCTACGGCGGCATCCAGTGCCCCTTGCTCTTTGCGTACGGCCTTCTCGAAGCCATGCCTGACAACACCTAACCACAGTGTCTACACTTCTTTGCACTCAAACTGCAATTGCCCGAAAAGAAAGTCCAGCTTCCCGAAGTCCCACTATACGGCCCTTATCAAACTCACTAAGTTGACGAAATCGTACAGGTCTCCGAACTCTAGGCATCGTAACCGATCGTAAAGGATATCAAGAACCAAAATCCGCCAACGTTGATTCTTTACTGCGGCTGAAATATTCATTTTTAGAGCGTTAGTGAATTAAAAAAAAGCAGTATAAAAACCGGAATGTCCAACTGATAAGGCTGAAAATTTTTTCACTTGTTATTTACAGTAATATAAATACATTCACCAACTTTTATTAAAATAAAACCATTTAAACTGGGTGTTCGGATTTATATGTCACTTAGTCTACAAGGTAGGCAAAAGTGATGTGTCGTAATACAGGCTGGATGCCATTACTTCTCTGTTTCACGAGCGAAGTTTATTTAAAGCTATGAAGCTGATGACGTTAGATCAAATGAACAGCTGAGATGCGCTAGTTTTTTGGCATTCAGTATTTTTGCAACAGATTACCAGATCTACCGGCGTCAGGTTTCTGTTGTCTGTTTGGAAATTTTTTCCGAGCCTACCACAGCAGACGGCAAAACTTGGAAGTCTTGAAGGCCAATACTAAAGAAGAATTGGGAGCCAGATGCTTTACGTATCATAGGAGGACTGTCGTTAGTTTTGCACATTCAAATAAACGTTTCATTAGACATTTTGGCATTATTAGATTACTTTTGTCTTGCTTTGGATGATCATCATATTGACGCGAAGCACATTGTGTAGAATAAATATTTTCAGACAGAATTTTCATGAAGAAGTTAAATATCATGGTATATCCCGCGTAAAGTGACATTATGATGATGTTTATTTCTTCAGTTCATAAGGTCCAAGACTTATTTTAAGTATAAATAAGTGTAATATTTTCATCCGACCCTTCGTGAATAGGTAATAGTATCAACAAGTATTAAGCGTTTGTCAGATCTGATAGTTGTTGTATGCAACGAAGGAAATAACCCTGGTGTATTTCTCAAAGAGCTCTGCAGCCTATTAAGAAATGATAGGATCTAGCGATGTTATTACCAAACATCTTGTTTGTTTTGCATATGAGAAATGTGGTTGTTCTATATTTGAGGAACAACCCTTACATGTTTAAATCGAGAGGTCTAAAATCACAGCCTTGCGAAATTTGACTTTTTCTTTCCCCTTCCATTGGTTATATTATTTTTGTTAATACATGTGTTGGGGCAATTAAAATACATCTTTGTTTTTCTTCTTGCACGTCCAGATCTATTTTTATTGATAACATGCATATTTCACAATTTTTATGAAATAATAATGACTCTGGCCACCTCAATCGACAGGCTTCTTTTTGTCCACCCGTTGTACACGGGCTGTTCTTTCCCCTCTTGGGCGTACAACTATTGTCGGTCTTCTCCCCTTTTCTTTGGCCTCATCGGCTGCTAGGGCCAAATTTCTTCTTGTTGCAGCTGGCTTTTCGGTCTTTTATGACGCCTTATTGTTCTTGGGTCGTAATCCAAGGCGTCTTTAATAAGCACATTTCGATGTCTTTCGTTCTTTTCAAAGAACTTTCGGGCCCTCTCTCTCTCATCTGCATTACGACCGGTACCTGTCGTAGTTCGTCATATAGCACCCTGTTAGGTACATACCACGGTGCGTCCACCACCTCACGGAGTGCTATGTTTTGTTGAGCTTGGAGCCCCTCTTCTTCATCGTTTTGGAAACGTAGCCCCAAGCTACTGCTGCGTAAGTCATGATTGGAGCAGCACCATCTGAATCATGATGGTCTTATTCTTTAAGGACACTTTGCTTCTTCCGCCTATTAAAGGTCTTAGTTTGGAGCGTGCCATCTTCACTTTCTGCACCTGGCCCTCGGCATGGTTCTTCCAAGTGAGTTTTTGGTCCATCTTGACTCCAAGGTACGTGCTGGAGTCCATCCAACCGACCTCAACTTCTTCGTCTCTTCTCCAGCCTCTCTCCATTCTGGTGGTCGTCACCTTTATTTTGATTTGAGGTAATCTTCGATTTCTTCGGAACAGTACCGCTTCGGCCTTCTCAGGGTTGAGACGGATCTTCCACTTGATGCACCATTCCTCTAGGTTGGTAGCCGCTCGTTGCAGATATTCCGTAACCATGCGGGGTCTCGTAATTTCTGCCGCATATGCTGTATCGTTCGCATACACATACAGTTGCGTTTGTGGAGTCTTCGGGATGTCTGAACTGTAGATTGCATACAGCAGGGGTAATAGGACCGCTCCCTGCGGTACTCCTGCCTCCACAGTCCTCGTCGAAGTTGCTTTACCAATCCTAATTAGGAATTTACGGTGCTTCAAATAGGACTTCACCAGTTGGATCATCCCCGTTGAGTATCCGAGGTCTACCATCTTGTAGATCAGTCCGTCATGCCAAACAGTGTCGAACGCCTTAGCGGCATCCATGAACACAGCTCCCACGGCCCGTCGAGTCTGGAACGATTTCGTTGCCGTCTCGACCAGCCCTAGGACCTGGTGCTCTGCTGAATGTTCGCTTCGGCATCCGAACTGTTCGTCTGGAACTACTCGGAGTTCTTCAGTTTTGTTCCTCAGTCTTCGTTCGATTACCCTTTCCGCAATCTTGCTCAGTGCCGTCAACAGGCTTATGGGTCTGTAGTTTTGGGGGAACCTTGGGTCTTTCCCAGGTTTTGGTATGTTGATCACTTCGGCTACTTTCCAGTGTTCTGGAAAGTATCGATGTCTCAGTATGGCGTTGACAATGTTGGTGATTGCCGTTATCGCTTTTCTCGGGAGTCTCTTCAAGACTCGGTTCCCAATTTCGTCTAAAGTCGGTGCTTTCTTCACCTTGAGTCTTCCGATGATTTACGTTACCTCGCCTGGAGAGGTCAGGTCTTCAATGGCTCTTCCTTCTCTTTCAGCTCTCCTCGATCTTCTTATCACCTCGTCGATGAAGTCTCCGTCTTCATCGGGGTGAGTATTGAGAGTACACTGTCTCTGAAGGTTGTCAGCAAAAGCTTCTACCTTCTCTTCGGTTGTGTACACCATCCCCTGTTCGCTGTGTACTGGGGGATGGGCCGTCTTCTGTTTCTGAGGATTTTAGCCAAGTTCCACATTCCTGGATCAGCTGGAGATAATTCTTCGAGTTTCTTATCCCAGGTGCTCTGATGATGCTGCTTCAAGGCGTCTCTTGCCTGTCTTGTCAGTCTGTTTACCACCATGATGTCCGTGGGGCTTCTGGTCTTCTGGGATACTCTTCGGGCTCTATTTCTTTCGGTGATTTTGCGATTTACCTCGTCAGGTAGGTCCCTGAACCTGTTTGGTTGCATTATGTCTTCCACGGTGGTTGCGGCTTCTAACGCAGCCTTAATCTTCCTTTCTAGGTCCGTGACCGCTTCCTCTATGTCTTCAGGGCTGTCATTCTGAAGTAGTGGTCCTAGTGAATAGTGCAGTCTGATTCTAAATCGCTGCCAATCCACTCTCTTCATCTTTGCTCCACAGGTGTTCTCCCATCTCCCAACTGAAGAAAGATGGGGTTGTGGTCTGAGCTTCCTTCTTGCAAGGCGCCGATGGTCGTGCGCAGGTCAATTTTTTTCAGAATCGCCATATCTATGACGTCTGGTTTACCTCCGTTGCTGGGGTATATTGTGGGTTCGTCAGGACCTAACATGGTGTATCCAGGTTCATCCATTAGTCTTTCGAGAACAGTGCCATGACTGTTTCTATTTCTTGAGCCCCAAATGGTGGACTTCGCATTTAGATCACCCACGATCACGGTACTATTTCCCAGTGCAGTGATACAGGTGACATCTTCCAGAGGGCCATGGTCGGTTGTGCGTACCGTCACTCCTACGGCCTCTGCAGATCTCAGTTCTGGCAGTCCCAGTTCCCAGTGGGTAATGCTGGTCTTGACAGCAAGCAGCAGCCCACCTCCGGTTCTGTTCCGGTCCTTTCTATATGTCGTGTATCCCTGTATCGTCCAGTGTGGGTTTTCCCCAGAGAGCCACGTTTCTTGTAATGACATTATATCATTCTTCCCTCTTGTTAGGACTTCGCCTATCTCATATTTCTTGTTGGAAACGCTGTGAACGTTCCAACTCAATATCTTCAGACCCCTATTAGCAATGGTTATTGGACTGCCCATTTGGAGTTTCGGTCTGTGCTATCCCTTTTAGGCGTATTTTCGCTCCAGATGAGCGAAATACGCTTTCTTGGCAGCCGGATTTTTCATCACCAGCGACATCATTTGAGATGCGTACTTGGTGGCAAAGTCTGTCAGCTCCTCGACGTCGCTATAACTACGGCCCTCCTGTACTGGACTAGGCCTAGTTATGGTTTTGGGTACTGGCGCTGCTCGCGCTGTGCCCTTGCTGCCGTCTTCTTATCTCTGGGCCCTGCACTCGGCCTCTTTGGGCATTCCCCAAAGTTTGCGAGATGCTCTTCCCCGCAGTTGGTGCACTTCGCGGGCGTTTCATTAGGGACCTTACATTCCGCCGCTCTATGCTTTCCTGCGCATCTAACGCAGCGCGGCTCTCCCGTGCAGTTCATTTGGCTGTGGCCAAACTGCTGGCATCGGTAGCACTGACTTGGTCCATTCCTCTTTTTTAATGCCTCCATTTGGATCACCATGTGGCAAACAGCATTTATCTTGTAGATCCCCGTCTCTGCCTTCGGGAGATCTACTTTGATTAGCGGTATCGCTTTGCCAGTCCTCCTACTGGTCATTATGCTCACCCTCTTTGGGTGGAAACCTTGCCTTACCAAGTCTTCTCCAATCTCTTGGCAGGTGGTGATTATTGGCATCCCCCTTAATACCATCCCCAGAGGCTTGCCTTCTGGAAGGGAGTATGTATGCTGCTTTATCTTAGCATCTTCCAATGTCTTCCTAATCTTTCTGGAATCCTCACTGTCCTTTGGTTGGACCTTGATACCTGCTCCCGTTAACCGTGCAGGCTTCTCAATTGTGAGCATCTTCTTGCTCACTAATTCCTTCCAATGTTCTTCCCTATGGATATACAGCGGCGGTGGCCTCTTCTCCTTTTTCTTACTTGCCTCCGTCTGCGGAGGAGTGGGGGTGGAGGTGGAGGACTGGTCCATCTCTTGCAATTCTGCAGTTGTCTTGGTTGCAGATGTAGTGGCCGGGTTGTGACGAGGTGCCTTTTTCTTGGGGGCATCTTCCTTCATTCCATCTTCTGAGTATGTGCTGAGCCTCCTCTTTTGGTTTTCTTCCAATTTCTTCTTATTTTTGGGGGCATCAATCTCGGTGCCCTGTCTCGCTGCCATTTGCTCAATGAGCTTGGCAGTTCTTCCGCGCTCTTCGGCGCTTTCTCTCTTCAATTAGCTGATGCGTTAAGTCCTTCAGCTGACAAGATAGCTCAGCTATCTGTTTCATCAGGTCCTTGTTCTCATTTCTCAATTTCCTGAGATACCCCGCATGTTGGGAAACCTCCTCGTCTTCGCTGGCTGAGGAATACATGTCTTCCTCGTTGTAAAACATCTTTGCCACTTTTTCGAACGTATCTCGTTCGGTTAACACCATCGACTTCTCAACAAGTGCCCAAACTTGCAGTTTGCCTCGATTTTCTTTTTTGCTATTCGTCGTATCTTTTTACGTGTGGTCTCATAAATACTTAAAAATATTATATAAAAAGTTTTTCCGTTCGATTGAAAACACGTTTTCTCATTCTTTGTGATCGAATGAAAAGATTTCCTACAAAAATCGGTGTTTATGCTTCCACGTTTTAAATACCCCCTTGAACAACTTGCAGCAACTAAACCAGACCTTACAATTATTTCGCAAACCAGGGGTATTTTCGTCTAATATGATTAGACTACGTACCAAGATTCCCAGGGAAGGGATCAATATGAAAATGCAGAAAATGATACTGATATTGCAACCCAGTTCAAAAAAATTACTGAGCATGTTTATTAATTTCATTAGCTCAGAGCCAATAAAAATGCCTTTTTCTATCTTTCCATAACATTCACACTCAAGGGAGTGCCGATTTGGGTGTTTCTGGTTCAAATTATTTAGCGGTGGAGAGTATAGTTTGAGATTTATTCGATTGCCAGCAGTATATGCAGACTAACATACCATATATGAGATCCCGGTTATTGGAGTTGAGCAGGGTATCCCGTGGTTTTTGGAGTTGCTGATTTTACTTGGAGACTTGATTCACTATACCATTTATCTAAATAAAATATCACCTTCTGGCGATTCCGCTTTTCTTCGGTGTTTCAATTAGGACTAGATATACTATAACAGGTGATGTTAGGAAAATGAGAAAAGTGATTCTCTCAGAAAATATAGGGGATGGAACTTTTCTTATTTTCTTCGTAGCCTAGTAACTGATACTACACAGTTTGCTAATAAGTTTTGTAAGGCGAAAACTAAACCCAAGCCTGTTTTATTTTTGTCGAAGACCATACACCTACCATCTCAAGCGACCCCAGACTCGCGGGTTCTAATCATCGCCTCGATGATTAGTTCCGAGCCGCAGAAGTTTTGTTGTGCCTTTTGAGATTTAAACTGATTGTCCAAATTCCGATGATATTTATTTTTTAGGTGGAAACTGTGCTGATAATTCTGTGCTGCGACAAAACATCATCATCCGGTGCTAAAATAGAGAAAACATGCTACAAGCTCCAGGACCGTTTCGGCCTGGACTCTCGACCGCGAAAGGAATTTCTGTTGCTGGCAAACGTCATCCGGTCCCATAAACCGGTCTTCACGGCCGCGAATTATTTCGTCATAAACCGAGGCACCATCTTGGAGATAATACATATCGTGAGCACTTATGTAATTGTGATTATAAAATGTAATGAGACGTTTGAATAAATGATCGGTGAGAATATATTGTGTTGGATGTAGTACGCCTTCAATGGAGAGCTATCAACAATACTTATTTTTATATATAGAAAAGTTGATGCCGTTTTTGGTCCAACCTTAGCCAGTAGCAAGCTTTTTTGCTGCCTTGTGGCTAAACTGTGGCCATAGAGCAGTAAAGCTCATTCACGATTGGTCATTGGAAACGGACTCTGCGTGTCAGGCTATAATCGACGTGAATTGGAATTAATCCCGCTGAGCGGCTGAGCGCGGTTTTGAAATATTAGATGAGCACTATAATCCTGTATATATATATATACTCGCATTATATAAAAACACGGTATGTACTGTAAACTGGTGAACTTAACAATTAGCAAGCTTTTTCGCTGCTCTGTAGCCCTAGAGCAGTATAACTGTCACTTACGATAGGTCATCACAAGTGTCATACTGTGACACGTATAGGAAAGTACCCTAAAACGAACCCTCACTTCGAATGGTAGCAGCATCCAAAGGTCGCTTTTGCATAGTGCCTCAACAACAAAACCTGACCAAAGGTTCCAAAAATTCTTGATCTTCTTTTGATATCGCTAGTTCCACTTAGATGGCTCTGCATGCGAAATTATAGTATAGCGAATGTCTGACACCTGAAGAGCCAGAATAGTGTCGCGTTTTAAAGTTACCAACTGTACCGATATGTAGCAAAACCGATGACGGGTCGAGTGTATAATTATGATATGGGATTGCAGTACTTGCCAATTGACACACAGCACCATACGGTAATAAAATGTAATTGATAATTTCTCCGTAGTATGAATTAGTTTCCTCAAAGAAAGATTTGCTCTAGTGACGTTTTCCACTGGCAAGTCTATGAAACTTGCTGTTGAAAACCATAAGTAAGAAGCTTTCCTAAGCCTTATTTCGGTACGCGATGAAGGTCCATTAAATGTTATCGCGGTACGCAAATATGCGATTTTATAAACCTTATTACCACCGCTCCGGTTAACACTTAACGCAGAAAGCTTGCATTTTAACATCGAAGCATGTAGGTATGATTTGACTACCTAGCTCATCTCAGTACGCGATCTGTAGTGCAACCAAAAATTTGCAGCCGGCCCCCCTACTATTGAGCAAGGTACGGTACATATATATACATAGCTCTTAGTTCCCCGCGAAGATGACAGACGTACAATGCTTTTTCTATATACAGGGTGTTCCATAATTATTGCGACAAAATAATAGGGGTTGTAGAGGGCATCAAAATAAACAATTTTGCCTTATAAACCCCTGTTCGGAAATATGCCGTTTGGGCTGCAACAAAAAAAAAAAGATCAGTTTCTTGAAACAGCTTACCTACAGTAATTGTTCAAAGTGTCCTCCACCTTGCTCAATACACAGCTGTGCACGATTGTTCAATGATCGGCGAACTCTGTGGCATACCCCCGGCATGTCCTGAACATGTGCGGACGCGGCCATCACTCTTCCCAGTAGCTCTTGTTGGTTGGGAACAGGAGTTTCGTACACTAAAGCTTTCAGATGGCCCCAGAGAAAATAATCCAGTGGGGTCAGGTCGGGTGACCGCGCAGGCCAAGGCACAGGGCCACCTCGGCCTATCCACCTATTTGGAAATTTGTCGTCCAAATACTGCCGCACTTGTAAAGAAAAGTGGGCTGGAGCGCCATCGTGTTGAAACCACATGTTGGCTCTTATGTTCAGCGGCACATTTTCTAATAGTTCCGGTAGCACATGCTGTAAGAATCGACCATAAGCATGCCCATCCAAACGTGGTGGAGGCAAATATGGCCCGATGATATGCTCGTCCACGATGCCGCACCAGATGTTAATTGAAAACTGATGTTGGTCTCTATGGAGGGCTATGGCATGAGGGTTTTCTTCATCCCAAATGTGACTGTTACGGCTATTAAAATAACCGTCCTTTGTAAAACAGGACTCGTCAGTGAACAAAACGTAGCGACCAAAGTTTGGTTGCCTTGCAAAAATGGCGTGATGCGGATGAGGACGTTCTGAAAACCGTTGGGCGTAGATTCGAATAAGGTACTGTTATTTACTATCTAGTTTGACGCACCACTCAGATAAATTAAATGAATCGGTGTGGAGAATTTACGATAACAAAAATGTAAACTCAGCAGGCTTTTTTTTACACACCGGCGAGACCATGAAATTTGCTAGACGAACATTTTGCAGCTGGTGAAATTTTTGTTTCTCCTATGAGCTCTTAAGGTAAAATTAGCGGTACTGCTCAAACGGCATATTTACGAACAGGGGTTTATAAGGCAAAATTGCATATTTTTATGCCCTCTACAACCCCTATCATTTTGTCGCAACAATTATGGAACACCCTGTATATATATATCTCAATTGTACAGATTACCGGTAACATATATTCGGCGCATTTCATAGGACAGAGGGACGCACGCGTGGTCCATAGCGCGTTATTCACAATCAAATAACAATGCTTCAAAGCAAACAAAGGGCCAATTTCACCATCATTAATATTTGGCTGTCACTTGGGTCAATGGGAGAATACCTCATCGAAATGCAATTTGACTGAAGCTGCCAAGCTTCTCTGAATATCAGCGATTTCTATTAAAATATTGAATAAAATCGTGAACATTCGACTGTATTGTAAATAAGACCACTTTTTGATTCCAACATGATGCTTTTGTACAGAGAAAACAGGACAACTTTCATGTATTTTGATTTCTCTTATAAATTTACATTTAACAATCCGTTATCCCCAAAGCCAATAGGAATGCGGCAAATAATAGGTCGATTTTCTAGCTGTCAAATTTGCTAGCAGATTTGGTCGTTTATTAATTCATGGCAATCTCGAATTTGTTAAGTTCAATATACTGAGTGTTTATGTGTTATCATTATAGCTACACACCTGTTGAATAGTGCGGATTTGTCTGTATTTTGCAAGAAAATAGAATATAAAATCCATTCCAAAAAATTCCTTATCGTCCTTAACATCATAATAGTAATCATTTATAAATTTGATTTGACAAGGTAATGTGGCAGCCAAATGGCAGTCAGTTGTTCTAGATGCTGGCCAAGCAGATTGAAAAGAACTTCTCATATAGTAGTCTTTCACCACTTACGAGTCAGGATGGAACGATTGTAACTGACTCGAAGGCCAAGGCTGAAGTGCCAAGATTTTGCTGCCAACTCCACCATGGACGCTCCCCAACAAAGCTTCTGGTCCGGACTTGATTTCGCGTCTCTTCCAGGTATCTTACGAAACAAAAAGGATCTAAAAACCACCCTCACAGCTACAGGTTTATAGCTCTGCTTTCTGTTATAAGTAAGGTGATGAGAGGTGGATAAATCGTGAGCTTCTGGACTACCTCGAACGAGAAACCTCGAGGTAATCACTGCTTGGGGATGAAACAATCTTGTACAGTTTAAAGCTTCCAAAACACAGTACTGTACCTTGACAAACAAAAAGTGTCCAGCGTTATAGCGCTCATACGGTTTCGATGGGTAGCCGAGTTCTGCCAAACAGCTGTCCATTTCGGCTGGTCGGGGTCCAGATCACCGAGGAGTTGATCTGGCACGATCACATCTCGTCAATAGCGGTAGCTGCTAGGAAACGACTAGGCTATTTGTTTAGGGCTAAGAAGTATCTTTCTCCGCGTGACCCTCTCACTCTATACAAGGGCCGGATAAGACCTAGCTTCGAGTAGTGCTCACACGTTTGGGGTGCTCCCGCCCCGACTACATTATTTATGCTCGATGCTGTCCAGAGGAGGGCTGTCCGCTAATAGGTGACTCTTCTCTAACAGACAGTTTTGGGACCCTTTCGCGCTGGCGGAGCGTCGGCGATCTGGCTCTCTTCTACCGCTACACCAACGGGCTTGGCTCTTCAGAGCTCTCTTCCATTATGCCGTCACGCCTGCCAGACAGACTCGCCTGGGTTTGGCCTCCCATCCTAACCGTGTCAAACTTCGTACATCCAGAACTGGCCGATACGACCGCTTCTTTGTCCCGAGGGTGTCGAGATTGTGGAACAACCTACAAGAGAAAGTTTTTCCCAGTTCTACTAACCTTAGGCAGTTCACAGACCGGATTTACAAAATTTCTTTGGCATCCTCGTAGCTGGCGAGGTGCCCCGGCATTTAAACTTCTGCCTGTGCAACTGTTTCGGTATAAGAAAAACTCAGAAACGGTAAGCTTTCGAATAAATGGGGTCAAGTATGTTGCCTCTGCACATTCGTCGCAACGCTATTAAATTTTGTTTGGCGCAAGTTAGCTGTAAGAAATTCAACTATGAACATGTATAACAAAGGAATTAAATGGACCACGTCAGTCTAATAGGCCCGTACCAACGGCACCTCCTATACAATTGATCCCCAGTGCTGACCCATTTCAGAGCGTTTCGATCTAATCACTGTTGCTGTGTCTAAACCACGCCAAAAACCAGACCGCAATCGTCGGTGGTCGAGACGGTCTTTTTCTTCTATCCTCGTTACACCATTCGTTACGCTTACTTGGCTAATACCACCGAAACACAGTTTTGCTCGATGCGATAATGGAAATTTTTCCATAATATTCTGTCTTGAGAGAAAATGTATTGAGGAATCTGATTGCGAAGAATGACTAATAGGCGAATAGGATCACCGAGGTTGGAAACATAAATATACAAATTCCAAACAATTCACGTGTACCCTCTCCCACCACTTTTAGCCCAATCACCTCCTACTTCTCATCCCTCAAGGAATTTCCATTTTCACCGGTCTGTTTGAAACGTAAAAAACGTTAGAGTGGTTTTTATTTTTTTCTCCTACTACACTGCTTGTTCGTTCGTGACCAACGGAAATTGTTGACAGTTTTTCGCAATAATAATAATAATAATAATATTTATTACCCATTAGACATTTATAAAACATGTATAAGGTTCGTCAACAAACAATTTACAGTATATATATATATATATACAGGGTGACTTCGAAGTTGAGTCATTTATTTTAACAGTGAGTAGATCTGATCGAAAGAAATGTTTTTTTCCTT